TAACAAACCTTTAGAAACTAATCACGGAAACTTGGAGTATGTTTATACGTAATATTACACCGCTGGCTTTGTAGGGCGCATCCAATGGATATTTTCATGTTTACGATTATTTTTTTACGATATTGTATTTGTACTACGCAAGTTCATAATAATAAAAATAAATTGTAAATGTAAATCGTTTCCTGGACGTCCATCTTGGAGTAGGCAATTACATGAACAGGTATCGGTATAAATATTTTTCGAATATATTTCATTGCAAAATTAGGGTTAATTACGGTGACTTCATGAATTAAGTCGTATTCTTGTTATGCCGAAATGTAGGAACAGTCTTTCACAGCGTTTCTCAACCGTACCTTGGAATATCCCCCAAACACCTTCATTCTAGGATTATTCCAGAATAAAAGGTTTTGCGTTAATATGGAGTCAATCGATTTGTCTTATCGAGAGGGATCGAACGAACGTCTGAGCCCCCTTAAATTTTTTTCCAGAATTATCTTAAATTATTTTATAAGGATCCGAAAAAATGGTGAGTTCCCTACCAGTGTACTGGGGCGCGTAGAATGACACATCACTTGCCTCGGAAAGTGGATCGGAAGAGATCTATATGTGGATAACGGACGGACTGACACTTATCGTGGGTTACTTGACAATATAGAATAATGTATCAATGGAAAAGTTCAACTGTAGATACATAAAATTAACTTACGTAATTTATAAAAAACTTTAATTAATAATACGCGACGTAAAAATACGATAATATGAAGTATAATGTAGCATTGACAATCTGCCTTCGTTTTTAAGTACAATGAATCTTATACGTAAATTACATAATGGTGATGTTAATTGCCTACAAAAAGAAAAAAATCGCTTTTTAATGTGAATGAACTTTTTCTCTAGTGGCAGACGCATCTACGAAGATCCCTGAGGGCCTGATGTTCGGAAACCTAGTTCACCTGGGGAATTTCGACGAATGCCTAGCAGTGAAAAGTGGCACAAATGGTCCAACAGGCTTCGACGGTCAACACTGTCTCGTCACCTTAAAGATAAAAGTGAAAGGTGACGCCACGATAAACTTTCTCGAAGATCCCATCGATTGGGAATCACTGGTAATGGGCGTGGAAGCCGGCCAGATGTTCCCTACTAGCAGGGTAAGTGCCTCCGAGATGGCTTTTTGATTGATTGATGATTCCGAGCGCGTCCACGGATGTTGTTAGTCCCGTGAGTGCAGTGCATGTTTTTGCGTTTGAGGTGGCTGTGATCTTTCCCCTTACTTGCATGTAAAAGATCCTCAAGCCTAAATGACGCCTCTGAGCTAAATTCAAGTCGCCTGTTTCTCGCCCAAGATACCTCCTTTCTCCGGTAGTTGGTGAAAGGAGCGTAGCGAAATTTGCGTGGTCAGACGGAAGAGCAGGCCTAATGGCCTGAGTCTCGCCACGTAAAATAAGGCATAATTCAATTCAATTCAAGGGTGGTGAGATCCGACTTAGTAGGCAAGTGGGGTTTTCCCCAACCAGATATCTCCCACCAGCGGGGCATCGCCCAGCCGTGACAACCTCTAACCTACCGATCGGTCTCCCGGCATGTGTGCTTGTATACTGCGTGTTAGTGTAAGTGTGGCTAAGAGGAGAGAATAGAACAAGGAAGAAGAAGGAAACATCGCGCGGTCCGGGCCCGTTCGTTAGGGTACTGCTCTGGCATTCTACTAGTGTTAACCAGAGAAACCACGGAAAACTACCGATCAGAGCAGCCCACCGCCAGAATTCTCCTCCAAACAGCGACTGGATTCGACCGAGCTGACAAGCTAATATAAAAAATCCTCCCACCGTCAGGTCTCGAACCTGGGTCCAGCCGGTTAGATGGTTATGTTGTTTTGAATGTCAATCAAAGTACCAACCCCGCACTTTGGAGTGGGAATTCGTATGCATTTTCGTCTTTCGTTTTATCGCTGTCAAATGCTCAAGCTTTAGAAACTTCAATAGGCCATTCCTAAACTCCGGCTGTATGGTTGTAAATTTCCGAATTTGGCCCCACAACAACGGTATCACTTATATTTGAGACCGTAAGAGCAACTCCTTGAACTTGTCCCTCCAAAGCACTTCAGCTCGATGCTGCCTTCATGATCTGCTTGAGTCGTACCTTGGCTGAGGGAACGTATATTTTTAATAAGTCAGGAACTGTCGGAGGATTTAATTTTACAGTCCACTTTTACGAGTCACAAGTCTGACTCGACACAGGATTTTCGAAGCTTTCTAAATCCACCGCTTCCAATCGGGTTTCAAACCACGAAGGGTTTAGAAAGACAATATTAAAATGTATAGTCGACCATTAAACTCATAGGACACTTGTTTATTTAAAGCCGAACAAATTTGGCATTAAATATATTTACATATGTACATTGTGAATGAAAAATATATATTATTCTTTAAATTTTTTTCCAAATTGGTTACAAATTATGGATTAATATTTTGGGACGTTATCGTTTAAAGATTCCACCGGTAGTAATTCTTGCGAAATACATTTTAGTCAATGGTTAATAATAATAATCAATTTATTAACAATAAGAGGAACAATAATTGCATTTATTTAAAAAATACCATCTTTAACGGCTTAACTGTGTAAAAAAGTCAGCTGTCGCAGATGACATATATGATTATTAATAAATTGCCACCAACGAGTGTGAAGAATATACGTTTAATGGCCATTTACACTATCTTGCTTACATTGCAAGCTATGCAAGCGTTCAACATAACACAGACACACACAAAACAAATAATAATGTCACACCCGAAGACTTGACACACGTTCTTCTATGTACGTCAACGTGCTGAATCCGAAACCGAAGCCAAAATTGTAAATTGAAAATTTTACGGTGCTTTTTCCTGATTAAGAAAAAAAAGAGGCTGGAGGGTCGTGGTGCAATTCGGGGTTCGATTTTGGATTCAGCCCGTCCACATACATCGAAAAACATGTGTCAATTCTTCGGGTGTGACATTTTTTTAAAAAAATTTGTGTGCTTGTTTAATTAATGATAGGAAGCCAGTGTTAAAGAAGGTACGCTCTTCACAGGCGGAGGAAAACGTGGCGAGCGTGAACATGCAGATTGCATGGTGCGCGCCTTCCTCCTGTGAGCCGAAGGACCTCGAGATGCTGGCGAATGCGACCCTGCCAGACCTGTCTGCCTACGGCTTGCAGGTCTCTGCTTCTGTTCTACCTTCTCAGTGTCACGTGGATGAGCCGGTAATACTTAGGGGCATCGATATCTTTGCAATGTGAGTACTGAACATGCTTTTCTCTGTTTTTAGTTGTTCTTTGAAATATTCAACTTTCTTATCGTTCCTACGTATTAACATAAATCAGCTTGCAAAGTATGACATGTGCAACCATTCTAGCTAAAGTGAACGAACTATTCAATTACGTATGTAAAGACTTACATCCATGATTCATTAAAATAGACAATATTTATTCAAGTTCTTTGTTACAGTTGTTTGCTGGGTTTCTTTGTGGTGTGTGCGGTATTAAGCACAATCTACGACATTTTTACTGAGAAGAAAGGTAAAGTAATCAAATGAAAATATATTTACCTCTACTCTCTACGGAATACTTATTCATAATTCCAATTTTTTCGGACGTTGCGACGAATTAAAGTAAAAATTAAGAATTTAAGAATACATCCTAGACTACTGGACTTTTTGTTACTGTGGTAAATTACTTCAACATACACTTCATAGTTTTTCGTTACACTCTTTAGATGTTGATGGAACAAAAATATTAATAATGTTCCAGATAAGATTTGAGTTCTAGGTCAAGTTAAAACTTACTAAATATTCGGTAAATCGATTCTTCAGTTTTCACTCTGTTTTTGAATATCACGTGTCCTTTTGTGATATTGGTAAAGCGTTTTCTATTCGTCATCATGAATACCTAAGTAATAAAACTGGTGAATTCAATGATTTTTTTCAGAATTTACGTAGTCCTTATTTATTAAGTTTTCTACACTCTCTCTACAAAATGACGCTATACATTGAATAAGCTTTTCCTTCAAAACACCAAAAAATACTAAAACATTCTTTTGAAGTCAATTTAAAAATTCTATAGGAAATGTATAGTTTTTTTTAGATAACACAGCAGAAACTATATTTCATCTTATTTTATTCACACCAACGTATTAAAGATATCTTAACGACAAAGCATAAAAATTAAGAAGATAAACTCAATTCAATTCTCTTATTTGAAATAAAAAATAATATTTTTAGAAGTGTAGAAAAAACTGAGTCATGTTTCATCAGATCATTGATTTTGAATCATACTGTAAGCTTTTCCAGTGTCTCGAATGCAATTGATACAGTTCCATTCACAGTTTGTTTTTAAATGTTCAACAAGAATGTGAGACATCATTCTACAATTTCTGATTCAACACAATTGGATTCAGAGTTTCTTTCAAACTAAAAATCACTAACAATCAATTGCACAGGGAACAAAAATTACGTATATGTTTATGAAACATTCTGTTCTGCACTTTGCTTTGCCACCAACCCGTTGATGGTCTTACTTTTTTCAGACAATCGACCCTCGCTTTTACTCGCTTTCTCAATGTACTCCAACTGGCCCAAGATCCTCACGGTCAACACTGGTCAGGATCAACTGACTTGCCTCAACGGCATTCGTACCATAAGCATAGGCTGGGTGGTACTTGGTCATGTTTATCTTGTCAACGCAGCCCTACCTGCCATCAACACCTTGGATTATCTCCCGGAAGTGAGTACTCGGTCTGACGTGAATTATAGCATTCGTCACCTTAAAATGCATACATACCCTTCACCATCTATTTGTAAGTTTTTTGTCGATGACATGTTAACATTCACAAAATACAGTCAATTCCAGCGACAGTGAATCTCTTGAGTCTCAACATTTTTGGTTCACTACTAAAGAGGTTCCCTATATCCGATAATCTCAAAGTATAATATTTTTTCATCTCCCGTTGATTTTATTGTTCGGCCAGACCTTGCGAGCTGCAGCAATTCCCTCTGTGGCACGGCCCCCTCAATTCGTTTCCATTTACTACAAATGTTACTTTTACTCGGGCAACTTTTCTTGAACGATGGATTGACGATTTCGGGTGGAGTTAGTTACAAAGTTTAGTTAGTCACAAAGTCGGCCACTAGAATATTTTAAGTAATGCCAACGTCTGTGAAATGAAAGTCAAAACTGCATCTTGAGCATAACTTTTTCGGGAGTTTTAGGTGACTCCCTTGGAGGACCTGGACCTGACTCAGTCATTTCTTTCGATATTGACAATAATTCTGAACAGGGGTTCTGCACTATGAAAGCAACTGGCTTTGAATAGCTTCTATTTCGCGCCAACGAAGTTTTAATGCTTGGAAGGTTGTCATCAGTTCCCGCTGCGAGCTTTTGCCTTCA